GAACTGGCCATGCAATAGACACTTCATTTCTATAAGACAACAGGGGATGCGCTGGCCTCTCTTTCTTTCACTATTATTTACAGAACATTCTACTTATTAATTCTATTTGGAACATACTGTAGTAACAAATTTCAAAAAAAATTTTTTTTTGGGGGGGAGAGGTTTTCGCTACAGGGCACGTGTGCTCGTCAGACAGAGAGAGACAGAGAGACAGAAAGTGAGAAATCACCCCCCAGGGGGGATGGCCACGCCGCAATCCCTTCTCCTCCATTCTCCTCTCAGGATCCTGGGCACGCACGCACATGCGCCCGGTGTGAGTTTAAGCCACCGGGTCTAGGACTCGAACCGTGGTCGACTACGTGGGAGTCCAGCGACATAGCCATTATGCCAACTGCTGGTCCCTCAAATTTTTTTTTATTTTTAAAATTTGCTATAGGCCATGTGTGCTTGCCAGAGAGAGACAGACAGAGAGACAAAGATAAAGCAAGAATGCACCCCGCCCCTCGGGAGATGACCACATCTCAATCCTTCTCCTCCTTTCTTTTCTCATGGGCACACATGCACACGTGCCTAGCATGCTTTCCAAGATCCCAACAGGATACATTGTTTTTATAAAATAAGTTTCAGGAGCCAACAGGTGGGACAGTGGTTAAGGCCTTGGACTCATGGCCAATCAAAGTTAGAGTCTTGGACCTGGCATCTTAAAAATTATGCCAGGGGGACCAGTAGTTGGCGTGTGGCTATGTCACTGGACTCCCATGTAGTCGACTGTGGTTTGAGTCCAGGGCCCAGTGGCTTAAACTCATGCCAGGCACGTGTGCATGTGTGCCCAAGATCCCTAGAGGAGAATGGAGGAGATGGGATTGAGGCATGTCCATCCCCCCTTGGGGGTGATTTCTCGCTTTTTGTCTCTCTGTCTCTCTCAAAAAAAAAATCATGCCGGGGGGCCAGAGGTGGCATTGATAGTTAAGGGTGCTGGACCCCCACATACCCAACTAAGATGAGTCTGGACCTGGTAACTTGCTTTCTCACTTTCCCTCCCTCCCTCCCTCTCTCGCTCTCTCATTCTATCCCTCTCTGGTGGAATATAAATAAAGTTTATAAAAAAATCATACCAGGAGTGTGTGCGAGTGTGTCCAAAAATCCCTGGAAGAGAATAGAGAAGGGATTGCAGTGTGGCCATCCCCGCAAGGGGTGATTTCTCACTTTCCCTCTCACCGTCTCTCTGGCAACTATGGCAAAAACCTTTAATTAATTAATTAGTTAATTAATTAAACAAGTTTCATAAGACTCATATAAATGACACTATGTTTCAAATAGAAAAACTAACACCCACAAAATTGTCTCATACTAAATACTCCACCCTGTTTTATGGCCTAAAATTGCCTTCTCGATCAAGGATGTGCCTCCGTACTTAAGATTTTTAAATTAGCTTTCACAAAAATTTTAGAATTGTTCCCCCCATTTACAAGTTGTCCCATTGTACTATTTAAGAGTGGTACAAGGCCCCAGGGTCTGAGACTTGAACAACACAGCCAGCCATGTGGGATCCAACCACCTTAAACACCACATCACCAGCTGGCCCAAAATTCTGTATTTTTTTTTAAAAGAATTATTTTATTTTATTAATTATTATTATTATTATTTCACTTGCTAGGACACAGGAGTTCACCAGAGAGAGGAGAGGGAAAGTGAGAAAGTAAGCTAAGAGGTTCAGTCCATCATGCCACCTGCTGGTCCCCAAATTTTATATTTTTAGATAAGCTCAAATACTTCCTCTAAAAAAAATCACAGGAGTAGAACCACATACTCTATTTTCCTTTATTTATTTATTTTTGGTCTTTGTTGTCAAGAAGCATAAAGTGACATGTGAATCTCAGAAGCAACAATAGCCTCATTTTAGAGCAGTTGATTATCTTTCATTCTCTAAGTGGTTTCCAATGACCAGGCCACTGAGCTGGCCCAAAATTATTTTAAAATACCTTTTATGGGGACCAGCAGTTAGCATAATGGCTATGTCGCTGAACTCCCATGTAGCCGACCATGGTTCGAGTCCCAGACTCAGTGGCTTAAACTCAAGCTGAGCGCGTGTGCATGCATGCCCAAGATCCTGAGGGGAAATGTAGGAGAAGGGATTGTGGTGTGGCCACCCCCTCTGGGGGATGATTTCTTGCTTTCTGTCTCTCTGTCTCTCTCTTTCTGGCAAGCGCATGTGCCCTATAGCAAAAACCTCTCCAAAAAAATTAAAATAAAAAAATACATTTTATGAATTTGTTAACCATCTCAAATGTAGTTAAAAAGTACTCCAAAGGGGCCAGCAGGTGGCATGGTGGTTAAGGTGCTGGAGTCACACATGGCTGACTACGGTTTGAGTTTCGGACCTGGCAGCTTGCTTTCTCGCTCTCCCTCTCTCTGTCACTGTCTCTTTCTGGTGAAATTGAAGAAGAATAAACAAAATTGAATAAATATTTTTAAAAGCATCCCATATGAGACAAGCAGGTGGCGCGGTGGACTCCTACATGGCTGACCATGGTTTGCGTCCCAGACCAAGCAGCTTGAAAACCACACTGGGTATGTGTATGTGCATGTCTAAAATCTCAGGAGGAGAATGGATGAGAGGGGATTGTGGCAAGGCCACAATCTGGGGGTGGTTTCTCACTTTCCCTCTTACTATCTCTGTCTCTCTCTGGCAAACCCACAAATGCTATAGAAAACAAATAAACAAACAAACAAAATTGTAGAAGTATATTTGTCTGGGACTAGCAGATGGTGTAATGGTTATGTTGCTGGACTCCCATGTAGTGGACCATCCTGGACTCAGAGGCATGTGTGTGTGCATGCCCAAGATCCCAAGAGGAGAATGAAGGAGAAGGGATTGTGGCATGGCCATCCCAACTGGGAGGTGATTTCATGCTTTCTGTCTCTCTGTCTCTCTGGTGAATGCCTGTGCCCTATAACAAAAGAAGATCTCTTTAAAAAAAAAGTGTACTTGTCAAAGACAGAGGTAGTACTCCCCAATAGGGCATGGTTATGTCACTGTCCTTTTCCCTCCATTTCTCTACACCACCAAGAGTTGAGGCATATGTGAGCCAGCTGTACAACCAGTAGCTTTTTTTTTTTTG